CCCACTCTCTCCTTCCCTCCATCTCTCTCTCTCTCTCCTTCCTTCCACCCCAATCCTCTCCTTCCCTCCATCTCTCTCTCCCTCATTCTCTCCTTCCCTCCTCTCCCACCCTCTCCTTCCCTCCATCTCCCACTCTCTCCTTCCCTCCATCTCTCACTCTCCAACCCTCTCCTTCTCACTCTCTCCTCTCCCTCTCTTCCTCCCCCCCCCCCCAGTGGTGGACTCCTGGGGCAAACTTCCTGACGGTTTCCTCTTCGGCAACCTTCGCTCGACCGGGATGTACGAGGAATGCCTCAACGTGTGGGCGAACTTCACCTACAAGCCAGGAATCATCGGCCCCTCCGTCATTAGGAACTACACGGGGCGTTACTGTCAGATTTATTACGAGTAGGTCGGGTGTTTCAGTGTTCTGTTGTTATCGTTATTGTTTTGTTTATGAATTGTAATGGTAATCATGTTTACGAGGCTAATAAAGATGATGAGGAGGAGGATAATGATGATAGTAACAACAATAATAACGATGATGAAAATGATAATAGCATACAGTGTACAGTGCATTTATTTTTTTTTATTTTTATTTTTTTTTGAGATCCTGGTTTCGTGGTTTGGGTTCGTGTGTTAGTCTTCATGTGTGTTGATATGCAGATAGGGATGCTGATTTGTATTCATAAACATGCCCGCACACACTATATCATCAAAAAAGCAAAGAAAGAAGGACATACAAACAAACAGAGTGCTTGAGTGTGCGTGTGTGTGTGTGTGTGTGTGTGTGTGTGTGTGTGTGTGTTAATACGGATGATTGCAATGATTTATTACTAATCTCTTCCTTCCAACTGATTTTATGTGTCACTTATCACATATCAACTGATATTGCCATTGACATAATAACAGTAATAAACACCAAGTACAATAAACCTAAAAATGGAGAATAAGAATGCATTGTGATAAGCTTCAGGAACAAATCACAAAACCCCATAAGATCTATATCAATATCAACCATATAAGGTCGAATTTCGTAAGAAAGGTCTTGTTACTTGTTACTTTTTCTGCTTCGCATCAGGCGCAAAAGAAAAAGATTTTTTTTATTATTAAATTGTAAGATGATTATCGATACTACAATTTCCCCTATATATAGTGTTGGAATATACAATGGATACCAAAATATTGTTCAGGAAATAAATTTCTAACTAAATCGGAAAGGATTTTTGAATGCAATTTGTCGGTTTGTTACTGTATACAAAAGGGTAAACTCTATGGTATGAACAAGCCGCATTTCACAACCCCCCCCCCCCCACACACACACACCCATGTATGTGTGTTCATTTATATATGTGTTTATATATATATATATATATATATATATATATATATATATATATATATATATGTACATATATATATATATATATATATATATATATATATATATATATATATATATATATATATATATATATTTACCTAAATATACATATATATATGCATGTACATATATGTATATACATACATATATATGTATATATATATATATATATATATATATATATATATATATATATATATATATATATATATATATATATACATGTGTGTGTGCACAAACACAAGCACAAAATATATATATAATAATATGTATATATATACATATATATATGTCTGTGTGTGTGTGTGTGTGTGTGTGTGTGTATACTTATATGTATATATATATATATATATATATATATATATATATATATATATATATATATATATATATATATATATATATATATATGTATGTATGTATGTATGTGAATGTATATATATAAAACATATATACACACACATGCACATACACACGCACAATCACACACACACACACACACACACACACACACACACACACACACACACACACACACATACACACACACACATATATATATGTATATATATGTATATATATATATATATATATATATATATATATATATATATATATATATATACATATATGTGTGTGTGTGTGTGTGTGTGTGTGTGTGTATTGCTCTCTTTGTGTTTGTATATGCATGTACGCATGCATATACATAGTAATACCTGCTAAGGAAAACCCATTGACCTGACGGCGCCCCCCCCCCCTCCCCAGCCTGGCTCCCAAAAACGAATCTCAGCAGAGCGTCAGGAGCGGCATTCCCATGGAGGACCCGAGCTCCCCCCTGCCCTTCTCCTACGGCACCTGCATCCCCTCCAGCTGCTCCTCCGACGATATGTGGGTGAGTTCCCTACAGGTCCTTTTGCGAGTCATTTTGGTAACTGGCAACTATTTTGTGAATTTTTATTACTTTTTTTTATATTTCTTTTCTTTTTTATTATTATTATAGTTATTAGTTATGGTTTATCATTTGTTTAAAATCGTATTAGTTCATTCCTTTTTTCGGTATTTTTTACATCATTATTATCGCGTTCCATGTATTTCACGTTTTTATCATTAGTTGCCTTTTTATTTGATTATTTCATATATCTTCAATTTCACACATATTATTAAAACGATCATATTTCTTACTTTTTTAACTGTAAACTTTTTTTTTCTTCTTCTTTTTTGTTAATTGTCAATATTTCGTGTGATTTCTCGTGCAGATATCGATCAACGAAACCCTACCACCGCTTGGCCTGGTTGTCTCCCACATCGAGTGTTATAACGTCGACGACCCACCTGAAGACCTGACTCCGGGCGACCAGACCATGTTGTGGGTTTTTTCTCTTTTTTTCTCTCTCTCGCTCTCTCTCTCTCTCTCTCTCTTCGCGTCTTTCTCTTTCGTCTTTTTGTTTTTTCTGCTTATCTGTATTTTTTGTTTGTTTGTTTTGTTTGTTGTTCTGTGCCTCTTTCTGTTTTTTTCTATCTTTCTCTCTCTCTCTCTCTCTCTCTCTCTCTCTCTCTCTCTCTCTCTCTCTCTCTCTCTCTCTCTCTTTCTCTCTCTCTCTCTCTCTCTCTCTCTCTCTCTCTCTCTCTCTCTCTCTCTTTCTCTCTCTCTCTCTCTCTCTCTCTCTCTCTCTCTCTCTCTCTCTCTCTCTCTCTCTCTCTCTCTCTCTCTCTTCGCGTCTTTCTTTTTCGTCTTTATTTTCTCTGCTGATTTGTATTTCTATTTGTTTGTTTATCTGTTGTTCTGCGCCTCTCTCTTTCTCTCTCTCTCTCTCTCTCTCTCTCTCTCTCTCTCTCTCTCTCTCTCTATCTATCTATCTATCTATCTATCTATCTATCTATCAATCTATCTCTGTCTTTCTCTCCCATTCTCTCTTTCTTAATCATCCTTAAAGTGAACCTTTCTCATTTCGTTTCCCCGCTTCTGTTCAGTTTTTTTTCGTTCTTTTTTTTATATTCTCTTTATATACATAACTGCAAAGAAATAGATAATTTTAAAATGAGAAGAAATATTTTCAGTCGTCTTCCTTTTTTCCGATATAATTCCAGTTTTTTTTTCAGTTCATCCTAATTCCAGTTCTTCCTCATTCCAGTCCATCTTCATTCCAGTTCACCATAATTCCAGTCTTCATTCCAGTTCATCAAAATTCAAGTTCATTCCAATTCCAGTCATTTCAATTCATCTCAATTCCAATCCGCCTTCCAGCTCATCCTAATTCCAGTCCTCATTCCAATTCATCCTAAATTCCAGTCCTCATTCCAGTTCATCCTAATTCCAGTCCTCATTCCAGTCTTAATTCCAGTCATCATTCCCGTTCATCCTAACTTCAGCCTCATTCCAGGTCATCCTAATTCCAGTCCTCATTCCAGTCTTAATTCCAGTCATCATTCCCGTTCATCCTAACTTCAGCCTCATTCCAGGTCCTCCTAATTCCAGTCCTCATTCCAGTCTTAATTCCAGTCATCATTCCAGTCTTAATTCCAGTCATCATTGCCGTTCATCCTAACCTCAGCCTCATTCCAGGTCATCCTAATTCCAGTCCTCATTCCAGTTCATCCTAATTCCAGTCCTCATTCCAGTTCATCCTAATTCCAGACCTCATTCCAGTCTTAATTCCAGTCATCATTCCAGTCTTAATTCCAGTCATCATTCCTGTTCATCCTAACCTCAGCCTCATTCCAGGTCATCCTAATTCCAGTCCTCATTCCAGTTCATCCTAATTCCAGTCCTAATTCCAGTCCTAATTCCAGTCCTCATTCCCGTTCATCCTAATTCCATTCCTCATTCCAGTTCATCCTAATTCCATTCCTCATTCCAGTTCATCCTAATTCCAGTCCTAATTCCAGTCATCATTCCCGTTCATCCTAACTTCAGCCTCATTCCAGTTCATCCTAATTCCAGTCCTAATTCCAGTCCTCATTCCAGTTCATCCTAATTCCAGTCCTCATTCCAGTTCATCCTTATTCCAGTCCTCATTCCAGTCCTCATTCCAGGTCATCCTAATTCAAGTCCTCATTCCAGTTCATCCTAATTCCAGTCCTCCTTCCAATTCATCCTAAATTCCAGTCCTCACTCCAGTCCTAATTCCAGTCATCATTCCCGTTCATCCTAACTTCAGCCTCATTCCAGTTTATCCTAATTCCAGTCTTCATTCCAGTTCATCCTAACTTCAGCCTCATTCCAGTTTATCCTAATTCCAGTCTTCTTTCCAATTCATCCTAATTCCAGTCCTCATTCCAGGTCGTTCATCGGCATTTTTGGAATACTCGTGGCTCTGTCAACGATATACGACGCTACGACCTCGCATCTTGAGAGGAGCCACATGCGAGCGGGTATAGTGACCTTGGCGTTCGTGTTTGAAAGCGTAGTATATTTTTTTAGTTGTTGTTTTTATTTAGTTGTTGTTTTTGTGCGTGTTTTTTTCATGCGTTTATTCTTGTTTTGTTTTGTTTGTTTGTTTGTTTTTCGTTTTTTTTTCTTCTTTTTCTTTTTTGTATTTTGTTTTTGTTTTTTTCATTCTTTTTAGTTTTTCTTTTTTTTATTATTTTTTGTTTTGGTGTTTGATTCTTATGTGTTTTTTGTCTGCTGTTTAATGTATTTATTCAATCTTATTCATCCTTTCCGTCTTATTGATTTATGCTTTTTTGCTTTTTATTTATTATTTTTGTTTCGTTTGTTTATTTTTTATTCATTCTTTTGTTTTGTTTCTTTATTCCCTTTTCCTCTATTCATGCATCTAAAATTATTATCGTTATTATTACCATTCTTATTATCTTTCATTAAAATAATCATGATAGTAATAACAATAACAATAATAGTAATAATGATGATAGTTAGTGTTACTATTAACATTATTGTTATTACTATTATTGATATTATCATTATTTTCATTATTATTATTATCATTATTATTATTACCATCATCATCATTTTCATTATCTTTATGGCCGTAGTCATAATATTTATCATCATTATTATTATCATCATTGTTATTACTATCATTATTATCAATATGATTATTATCCCTACCATTATTATCACCAAAATCATCATTATTATCGTAATGTTCATTATTATGATTATTAATATCATCATTATCATTTTCATTATGGTAATTATAAAGATAATAATAATGGTAATGATAATAATAATAATAATAATAATAATAATAATAATAATAATAATAATAATAATAATAATAATAATAATGATAATAATAACAATAACAATAATAATAATAATAATAATAATAATAATGATAATAAGGATAATAATAATAATAATAATAATAATAATGATAATAATAACAGCTACAATAATACCATCATCATTCAATATACATTTCTTTTCTACATTCCAGGCGCGTGGCAAATATTCATAGGATTTTCGCTATACAGTAACTTGCAGCGAATATTTACATACAAGATATCAAGGAGTTCAAACGTAATCTCCTGTCTTCCGGCTTTGAGGTAACTGGCTGAAGTTTCGTGTCTATGTGTCTGTGTCTCGCTTATTTCTCTTTGTTTGGTTTTTTTTTTCTGTCTGTTTGTCTGTCTGTCTGTCTGTTTGCCTATTTGTCTATTTGTCTGTATTCGTTCTCTCCCTTTCTCTATTTGGTTCTCTCTCCAACTTTTTCTGTCTATCTACCTATTTATCTATCTGTCTGTTCAACTATCTTTCTGTCTGTATATCTATCTCCCTCTCTATTCACATATCTATCAGTCGAACTATCTGTCTGTCTGTCTCTCTCGTTTCTTTTCTCATGTTCTCTGTTTCGCTCTCTCTTGCTCAATCTGGATCTCTTTCTCTTTCTCTCTCTCTCTCTCTCTCTCTCTCTCTCTCTCTCTCTCTCTCTCTCTCTCTATCTATCTATCTATCTATCTATCTCTCTATCTATCTATCTATCTATCTAAAGCTACCTACCTACCTACCTATCTACCAATCTATCTATCTGTTTATCCATCTTTCTATCTATCTAACTGACTCTTTCATCCTTTTGTGACCTCGCATCATTAATAAAAGACATTCCAATCACAGGGTCGTGACCATGTTATGGATCATTGTTGTTCTTCAGTACGAAGTCGCCACAGATTACTTAGCTAACACAGTTGACTCCCCTCGTGTAAGTATATTCAAGATGCAGTTTAAGTAACATGTAATATCATCACCACTACCACTGTTATCTATGCCTGTGTTTTAGTTGTGTCGTAAATAATCATTACTTTTGGATTTTTACTTTCTGTGTTATACTCCTTATATTTTGTGATGTAATTTGTGATTGTCAATACTATCAAAATTATTCACTGTACCCTATAACATGGGGCGTCCAACTTCAGTTCTTTAGGATCCAAATTTTCTTGTAGGTCAACTTAGATATATATCTGACTCTCTGTAGTTACTTTATTAAGATGTTAAACGTATTACTATCATGAAATCAAGGCTGTTTATACATTCCAAGTCTCTATTAATTATTCGATAAGTTTTCCTCCTTAACTTCTAACTACCTCTCTTCTTCCTCCCTCCTTTCTTAACCTCTCCTCTACACTTCCCTCCTTCTTCCGCCCCACAGTACCAAGACCCATTAATAGCCCAAATAGTAACCAATGGCTGGCTAGCAGTGGACACCTTCCTCTTCCTGACGGGGCTGCTCGTGACCTACCGTCTCCTGCCCTTCGCCGTGCCCTCCGGACCCATGCGAACGCGTCAGATGGTCGGCCTCTACGCTAAGAACTTCGTCAGGCGGTTCTTCAGGTTGGTGTGGGTGGCGGGGGTGTGGGGGGTAGGTGGGATATGGAGGTGTGTGGGTGGAGTGTGGATGGATGTGTGGGTGGGCGTGAGGGTGTGGGCGAGTGAGTTTGATTGTGTTGGAGGGGATGCGAGTCGATGTGTGTGCTTGGGGGTTTTATGTGTGTGTGTGTGTGTGTGTGTGGATGTAAGTGAATGGGTATATGTATGTACTGGTGAGTATCATTATATGTTATTATATCCATACTGTATACTATGTACAGTGGATAGCCACAATGCTATAATTTCTGCTTCACACAACAGCAGGACATCAGATTGTTGACTCAAAGTGAGTTAAGACCATTACTAACTG